TTAATATCACGGTTTGATATATTATTATATTAAATTTCCGTGCCCTTCTGAACTTGTAATTTATTGAAAAAATGCGTTTGTTTAACCTATAAAATACAGTTTTTAAATTAAATGTTTCTGAAACAGCAAGTTTCTCAGTGGATCTTGGCTCGATAATGCAGCCAAGGTGGAGAAGTCGAACACAGATTCTCTGAGCGTCTTCAGAAAACAGGCTGATAAAATAAATTTTAAAAATCTGTATTGTTCCATACATGGTGCCTATAACATGTTTATGGTTGGTTTATGGTTTAAAATAAGTTAGCTGAGTCAAAAACAATAAATTAACTCAGTGAAGTTTACATATTTATGCAAATGGATTCTGTAGTTTTGAGAGATCTGTTGACGTCAGTGTATGTCATTTTTGTAAATGTAAATATTGTAATGAAAATCTGTTCTACTCTGTTGAATAAATACAATTAACTCATCTGCATAAAGTCACACATTAACAGAATTTGACTTTTGATAGAATAAAGTTAAAGTCACAGATAAATACACATTTCTGTCTTCTAACATCTAATGTACTGAATTCTGACATTCCCTGTTTTGTGTTTTCTCCGCAGTTTTCATCATGGCCACCGGACTGCTAGTTTACCCTTTCGGCCTTAACTCCTCACTCGTTCGATCTTTTTGTGGAAACTCTGACATCTACTACGCCGGCGAGTGTCAGATTGGTTGGGGCTACATGTTGGCCATTGTTGGAGTTATGCTCACCGTCTTTCTGCCCTTTTTTGCCAAATATGCACCAAAGGAGCAGCTGTCCCCCACCCCTTTGCCCACCCTGTTATAGTTTGGTCTCGTTTTTCCCGTATTGTTGATCGTTTTCTCTGTCTTGGACTGGATGTCCTGATGAGACTCCAGCATTTAGTTTTTTTTAAGAGCAGTAATAGGAAGCCCTGCTCAGTGAGAACTAAAACTGATCTACAAAAAATAAAAAAAATTGAAACACAGTCTTCCTGCATCTGTAATGTTATCAATTCAAGCTTAATTAATTTTGAACTGAATTGYTTTTGTTATATTTTTTAACCTCAAATCAGTCCTAAATTTTATACAGTTTGACAAATCATCCTTGCTTGTCTGGATTCAGTCAAAGGATCAAATGAACTGGAGGAAATGACCTCAAATGTCAAAAACTGTCTTGATTTGATGATTTTTTTTTTTTTTTTTTTTTTTTTTTTTTGCTTTGTGGAAACAAGTTGATGTATGTAACATTCCAAAACAAACTGGGGTTTTCAGCGTATAGACAGAGAAAGCATGGTGTTCTGTGGCACATCATGTTTCAGTCAAAAGTTTTTTTTTTAAAGAAAACTTGACAACGAGGCAATATAAATAAATAAAGAAACTGAGAAGTCTTGAATCCTGACTGGAGAGTCTGAACCCTGAAGGAGCTGCATCTAAAATTTATTGAGTTAAGATGTTTGTACTGTCAATATGGGCTCGATCAAACAGCGTGGAGCTTTGAAGTTTGGAGAAAAAAAAAACACTGAAATGAGAACTTTGAAGGATATTCCTCATCAGATTTTTTTTTTTGTGACCTGACAGTGAACCAGTGAAAGTGGAGAACACGTTCAGCTTTCACAGACTGGATGCACACAAAGAGACGGGCCACAGGCACAGCGTCAGAGCTGCAGAACGGACAAACTTAAAAACCTGCCTTCTTTACCAAAAGGCCAATCATAACCGTTAAATGTTTGAGAGAAGTGTCATGAAATAAGCTTAAAATAAAAATAATAAGATTTGTTTGTCAAACCTTTTTCCAGTTTTGTTTATGTGCTATACTGACCGTGCTTTTTTCTTCTGTCAACACCCGATTCTCATCACTGATTCAGGAAAAAAAAAGAGCAAAATACCAGGAGGTGTAAGATTTCTGTCAAAAGAAAATCCAGAAGATGGGTTTTCTTACTGGTGGAACGACTGATCTAGATTTTCAATGTGATCTGACCAACTTGTGCCTTTTTCAAATAACAAAGACCAGTTWAATATAGTCATCAGGTATCGATGTGCTGAAAACTGAGGGTCCTGTTATGTGATGTGATGTTTTTATTTTATCATTTTTTTTAGGGGTGGGGGGTTCTCTCTCAGTGTTCGTGTTTCGTCTGTACTCGGTGCAGTTGTTTGGGAAGACAAAACAATGTCCTCAAACTATTGAAGGTAACGGCAGAGATGAAAGCAGTGTAACTGTTTGWGTCSTGACACATTTAGGAACTACCAAAAGAAGATTTGCTTTATTTATTTGCATCTTTGTCTGATGTATACAACATATAGTGTGGATGAGGAGCTCTTGGTCAGCATTTTTAGCAGGTACATTACCAACATTATCACTCTGTAAATCCTCAAATATACCAGTTGTGTTTTTATTAATTTGTGTCTCCTTCTGGAGCACTGGCACTGGTCCTATCATGTTCTAAAAACAAACGTCTGCTTCTCACCATGCTCTTCCTCCACACTGCCAATTTCAACAAGTCCGGTCTTTTAAAAATTAAAAATTAATTCCCAAGTTTTGGCTCCCATAATGAAACGTMCCACAGAAGAGAACGTGATCATGTTGCCATATTTGGAGGATGATGCGAAGGGGAGATGTTGGTTTTGTACTGGACCTCATACTGTGTTTGACTGGAAACATAACAGCAGTGGACTGATTCTCTTCTTTGTTGAAAAGTTGTGTGTAAAGTCTYGGCACTGGTGACAATGTTTTGGTAGTGTAAAAATCGGTGTTTTGTTTTTTTAATTGTGATGTTTCAATTGTAAATAAGCTAAATGTTCTTGATATCACGTTATTAACTGGCCCATTGTTTTTTTAATAGATATAATTTCATGTTTCACTTCTTTGTGTTTGTTTTATCTGAATTAACTTGTTTGTTGTTTTGTGACATTTCTTTGTAATAAAACTATTTCTAAAAAGGAGACACTTTGCTCACAGTGGTTAATTGTTTTTATTATTGTTCACAGAAAACACTTAAAGAGAACATTTAAGTGATTTTAACAAAATGCAGTTGAATGAGAGCAGCAACCTTTTAACATATAAAACTGCAACAATAACAAATGTTTTTTCCTTACTTTGAACAATAAATTAGCATAAATAGCTTTGTGTAGCTACAAACCAAACAGAAAACACTTAAAGAGAACATTTAAGTGATTTTAACAAAATTAAGTTGAATGAGAGCAGTAACCTTTTAACATATAAAACTGCAACAACAGATGTTGTTTTTTCCTTACTTTGAACAATAAATTAGCATAAATAGCTTTGTGTACCTAAAAACCAAACAGATACACATTTTATTTTCTTCACTCTGAAATCCCCGGGGACACCTGTTGCTGCTCAGACTTCACTGAGGGTCTTGATCAGTGCTCTCATTTCTGCATCAGAGACTTTGACAGCTTCCTGAGCGTTTCTCTGCTCTGAGGCCAGGCCGGCTCTGACCGACACGCAGATCAGGACGTCTCTGCTGCGGTCGTAGTTTCCAACGCAACGATGGACCTGTCCTCTGATGAGACGGGGCAGCACCTGCTCCTGTTGGACAACAGGCAGAACTGTGATTGCAGAAAGTGTTTGATCAGATGAGCCGAGGTAAATGATGATACACACATTACACATAATAATTTATCTGACTTAAAGGTAGCTTAGAAAATTAATTATTGTTTTCTTCTTTAAAACTCACGTTCTCGTAAAAAACACACTGCATAACCTCCTTCCCGTCTCTTAYGAGGAAGTTCTTGGCTCCGTAGCTCCCCAGTGTGACAGCAGAATCCAGTGTTGCTGTGGGAGGAGAGAGAGCAAAGCGTGTCCCAATAATGGTGATCAGAAAAACCTGACAGCAAACTGCAGCAGCCGCGACTCAACTGACCAAATATCTCAAATAGGTACGGCGCTTTGTCTTTAAACTGGCTCCAGCGTCTCACTCCTTCAATAACTGTAGTCAAGATCCTCAGTGATTTCTCCACGGCTGGCTTCTCTGCAAGGGTTTCCTGCTGAAAACGGCAGAGAAATCTATACAACTGCTGCAACGATTACAACTGAGCAGGTAATGACAAAGTTTTAAAGGGAAACCTGATTAATTGTAACATTAGAGATTATTTGATCAACATTTACTCCAACTGGAAAACAAAGACTTTTAGACATGTTTACTCTAAACATTATTGATAGATGTGCGTTCAATGACTATTTCATGAGTTTCATTAAAATCTACTCAGTGGTTCAGAAGATATTTTTCTAATAAAACACACACAAACACAAGCAAAAACATTATTGTCCACTGTTTAATGGCAAGCAGGAATAAGATTTAAAAACTTTTTAAAGTATTTTCACACATTTCTGTGTTTTTCTACCTGAGTTTTAGCCGGTCGAGCAGTTTGAGACTGAACTGAGCTTTTTTTCCCCACAAAGTTGGGTTTTTCTTGGTCAAAGCTGTTGGTAAATTTCCAGGATTTGTTAGGCAGCTGCGCAGCATGGGCAGATGGCCTCTGGGGTGGTGTTTCGGCAGGAGGAAGGGGTCTTGACTGCTGAGAGTACTGCAGCGTGGAGACTGGAGGTTTGCGAGGTGGCTGCTGAGCCATCTGAGAGAACCCTGGAGAAGGTGTTGGCTTGCTTTCMAAGTTCTCCCTGCCGTAAGAGCCTTGATTTCTGCTCTGTTTGAAACTACCACCAGAGCTGAAATCTTGTCTAGCCGGACCGCCGGACTGTCCTGTTGCCAAACTGAAATGATAACAATAATAATAATTGAAAATAAAACAGATCAACTAACAATGGGCCTCATGCAAGAACATGTTCGTATTCTTATCCTAAATTTCTCTTACTTTTGTTCGTACAAAGGGTTCGTACGAACATGTCACGTCAGGTTCAACAAACTCTTCTATCTTCCTGAAAAGGGTGTAAATGAGCTGCGTAAATTACACCTGTTCGTATCCAGCTGCTCGTGCACGCGAGAGGAGATTAGCATAATTACCACCCCAAAAACACCATATAAGGCTATGTTTCCTGCCTCAGATACAAGGAAGTGTCCATTCATGAAAAATGACAGCGAAAACTAAAAAGAAGAACTTTACGAGTTCAGAGATTGAAGTCCGTCTGTCAGAGATCCAGAAAAGAAAATCTGTCATTTTTAGCAGCTCAGCTGTGGAATAGAAAGAGCTGCTAAAAGTATAAACAACTGTGTTAAATCATTTTCATTTATTCAGAAGACACAGCGCTGTGCACCGTAACACCCCCCACCCCCCCGCGCGCGCTGCGCGGTCGCAGGTGGTTCAGATGCGGGTTTGAAATAAGCATTTTAAAATGTTTTCAAAATAAGTCTGGCACTTTGGAGAAAACCCAGGAGTCGATGGAGGGATTATATACCTCCTCTGGCCTGGGAACGTCTCGGAGTCCCCTGGAATGAGCTGGAAAGTGTCGCTGGGGAGAGCGGGGTCTCCTGCTGCCCCCGCACCCGATAGCGGATAAGCCGGCCGGACCGACAATTTATATTGTTAGTCTAAATCATTACATTTAAAATTATAACTCTAATTCAAGCAGAATAGCCTATTGTCAACATAATTATGGAGTGTGATTTATTTTCAACTCAAAATATCTCCAAACTAACGAAATATAAAGTTATTAGTGAAGAAAACCCGTCTGGATAACAGCAGACTGACTGCTCGTAAAATATACGACAGGTCTGGACCACTCGTGAATTTTGTTCGTATCTGAAAAAAATCGTAGAATAYGAAAACATTGGTGAATGCCACAAATTCTCCTAAATCACTCGTACGCACAACTTAAGAACAAATCTGTGCGTACGAACGGTTCTTGCATGAGGCCCATTGTGTGTGTGACATTTCCACTTCATGCACCCACCAGTTTTACTTAGATTATTGAATTATTATAACAAAGTGCCAGAGAGTGAATAAACTATACCTCTTAGCTACATTTTTGTAAGGATGTGCTATGGGTGCGTAGGTTCTTGTCATAGTGGAAGGTCCAGGAGCAGGTCTGTTGCTGTAATACTGCTGAGGTTTAGCAGACTGTGGGATMGCCTGTCTGCTCCATTGATGGCTCTGAGGAGCAGCACACGGACCTGAGGCCTGGGAACTCTCATATGCACCTGAAAGGAAACAACGCATTCCAGGAGGTCAGTCTTACAGCCACCTCTGCTGGTGCTTCATGCTGTCTTGTTTCCATAAAACATGACCTCATTATTCAATCTTTCATATTAAAAATTCTTGTGCAGCTGGAGATTAGTTTTGAGACACAACTTAAAAAATACAGCTAATAGTTTTTACGTTTTAAGGAAAACATCTCAAACATYCGTTAGATTGTGTTGCACACTTCTCTGTATGTGCTGCCACCTAGTGGCTGAAATATAGAAGAGGCTTTAGGAGATTTTCTTTTACCTGAGCTGCTGTGAGGCGCAGATGAGCTGCAGCTTTCCATGGTTTCACTTTGGAAAAAGAGTTCATTTCCATAAGGAACAGACTTCAGAGGAACTCTGTTTCTTTTCCTCTGATTAAACAGGGACACAGGGAGGTAGACTGGCACAGAAAGAGGAGGAAACACTTTTGAACATCAGAGACTCTTTATGATCCTCAGCAGAAGCATTTTAGTACACAACAGGCCTGGACAATTAATCAGATTTTGATCTTGATTATGATTTGAGTTTTCAACGATCACAAAAACAGAATGATCGAAGTTCGCAGTGCCACTGCCAGCACAAAGCTGCAGGCTCCTCCCACTGCCAAACTTTCACTTTGTCTAATTTTCTCAAAAATATTTGAAATCCTGAGGGAAACATTGTTTAACAGCCATTGTTTTTGTTCAATAAATTTTGTTAAATAATCTAGATCTCAATTTCAATGAGAAAAAAAACGTGATTATAATTTTTGCAATAACTGAGCAGCCCTAGTACACAACATAGAAAAATTAAACTTACTCTGCATAGAACACTTAAATATATGTAAGTTTACACACAACATATTCACATCTTAATGGACTCGAGGCAAAAAAAACAACCTTGAGTCAACCCTCATTTTTTATATTTTGCATGGATGGAGACATATTTTTTTTAATTTAATCTAATTTAAAGAGACCATGAATAGAACTTCTTTGGATTTAATAAGGGTCTTTTGAAGTTTTACTTTGAACATTGTACATACACACTCCTTTTCAGTCCAGTCATCCACATTTAGAGTTAATTAACTCTATCATCATTTGACGTAGAATGACATCACAGCACCAACAAGGTGATTCACACACATATTTTAGCTGAAGACTGGCAGCTTTTCATCAGCTGAAGGTTCTGTGTCAGGTTTTTGACAGTTGCCTTTTCTCTTTCTTACACTTTCCAGATCTTGTTATGCTGCTGCTGATAGTTTTTAAGCAGACTTGTGCTGTCCATTTACCCTCTTTCTTGTTTTTTTTTATTTTATTTTTATTTTTTAACAGAAAGTGTACAGTACTGAACAGAAAATGAGTGGGAAAAGACCTGCTAAAGTCCAAATTTAAAAATGTCAGACCTACAGAAAGAACTTGTGGCAACTATAGAAAATAACAAAAACTACAGAGAGTGGGTTAAAACTTTTGCACTTGTCTGCTGTGTTAGTGATGGACTGAACAAACAAACAAACAAACAAACAAACAAACAAACAAACAACATGTCTTCAACTAACCTGTAGCTGGTCGGTCAGGCTGCATTGTTCATTCAGCTAGCAGGTTAGCATTAAAGTGACAAAAACAAGAAAAAGACTTAATAAGAACTGTTTATGAACTAAATGTTTTTAGAGTTGGACAATGGATATATTTCCAAACACAAAAGGGAAAAATGATATTTGTAATATTTAGAAAGTTAAAATAGTATTTGTTAGCTTAGCTTGTTTTGCAACACGATTAGTGCCCCGTTAACATTAGCTAAAAATGTTTTTATGAAGCTTTTAGGTGAGAAAAAAAAAACATTGTTAAATTTAAATACCATTAAGTATTTGTTTCAACAGCCTCTTGTTATTTTAAGTAAACACTTTAGTTACCTTCTGCTTTTTATAATGACAGCTATGAACGAAAGAAGCGACTTCTTCCTTTTCAGCACCACCTTGGAACGAGGCACGCGCCAGAAAGTTCGATTGTGCTGGTGTTGCCTTCAATATCAACAAGTAAGTTCGGAAATCACAGTTTCAGCAGGTACAAAGCGCGTCTTTGGGCTCAGGTCAAAGTTAAAGTGGGTGAAAAGTATTTTTGCGGCTATGTGGTGGGTGGGGGGTTAATTAATTAATTTATTTAACGTTCCTGGGTTTCTCCAGGTAATTCTGTCAGTTTTTAAAGGTATATCTCAATTATTTGTAAACAAAATTGTTCTTATTTTTTCCTCTTGAGATCACAAAGTTGTTTTTTTCTACTTGAAAAAAAAAATAATAATAGTAATGAAAACTTGATGTTGGCATTGTAGAGCATGTCTGTAATCTTCAGCTGATACAAAAAGCAGCTGCTTAATTGTTTTACCAATTTATCAATGGTCTTCTTTATTGTGAAGGCTCTTAATATTTGCTTCATTTACTTCTAGAAGAACTTTTAGATCATCAAACCAAACCTAGAACACAAAGATCACCAACCAGTTACTCTTTAATGTTCAAAGACTTAAAACACAAAATCAAGAGATACAGGAGCTACTTCTACAACTTAGTCAAACTTACCAAACAAAACTATACATAAAAGAAACACTCAGATAAACATTGGTGTTTGACTCAGTTAGAACCATCCTGATGCTTCATTTTTCTTTTTTACACCATGATGTTTAATATTTTAAGACTAATTTGGTTTTACTTTTAACTGTGATTAAATGTGTTTTATGTCCTTCAGCTTACATTGGTTATTTTTCTCTTTAATCCTCTGGTACATTTAAATGAGCGGCTCTTTGTGTGATTTTTTTATTTTTATTATTGTTTCTTACTGGAGTCTAGATGCTTTTTGGATATATTTTTCCTCGCTCATTTTTGTTGACTTGTTTCAGGATAAAGGTACATTTTTTTTAGTACTTTTCCCATATCTGGTAAATGCATTCAGTTGCCAGAAAGTGTCAACCTCAGTGAGTCAGAGTTTGTTTTCCACTTTCTTCTGGAAGTTTCAGTGGGTGGAGTTTATTTTTGTTTCTCGTTTCTCTCCTCGAGGTGTACTGGTGACTTTTTACATTCCAACCCCAAGCTGTAGTGGGTCTGGGTTTGTGTTTTCCACTTTCTTCTGGAAGTTTCATGGGTGGAATACATTTTGTTTCTCTGTAGTGGTGACTTTCTATTTTCCGACCTGGCAACCCGCACACGTCTTTCAGGGGGAGGAGCCTGTTAGTCCGGACTCCGCAGTAGTTTCTGGAAGGAACCGCATGTGTGCATCATGGATAACGTAAGTACACTGCTGGTTCTGCTTTGTTAATTCTTTTTGTCATTTTAGCTCACGTAAGATGTGCTGATTGTATCTCTGCCAGTATATAATTCAAATACTCACTAATAGAAGTTTCTAGGTCGGTGTCCTCAATTTGCTTTTTGCACTGAGACCTCACTTAGCTTGTTAGCTTAGCATCATTCACTGACTCAGTGTAGCCATTGATTCAGCTGAATGTGCTTTATAATAAAACATGTCGGCGAAACTCATGAAATGCTTCCAAACTACCGTTTTAGAATAATTTGGCAGTAGGTTGTAAGCAGACGGGTTAGTCACAGCTAACAGTGATTTAACCACTTGTTAAGCTAACACCCAGAATCACAGCTAGGTTAAGTGTATTAGTTTGACTGCTATTGTTGMCGTAATCCGAGCATTTGAAATAAAATTCAATTTCTACTTGCATGTCATTAGCAATTTAGTGTTCCAACACCCTGTAGTCGGTGAATAATATAAGTGCTTCGGAATAACTCGACTTAGCAAATCTCTGTGCAGCAGCCATGTCCGCTGTAGTTCATTGATAGATGTGGACTTTAAAGTTACGCTTACGTTCTTTTCTGTCAATAAAAGTAATAGATCTGCCTGGCAGTTTTTTTTATTTATTATTGTGCGTTAAAACGTGCTTCTGGAGTATTTTTGGCTCGGCTTTAGCGCTCAGACCGGAGGATCTTTCTAGATGCACCGCCGTCATGGCTCCTGCCGTATGTGGGCTGAAACTGTCGCAACACCTCGAAGTTTCTAGTTTGTTGAAGTTTGTGCTTTAACATTTAACTAATTATAGRACCAAATTTATGTTTAAGTACATGTTAAACAAAACCTACATACTTTAAGGGTTCTTCAAAGATAAAAAATATTATGTCCTGGATCTAATCCTATCAGGGAAGGTATTTACTTTATAAGATTTTTTGTAAACAACCTTTGTTTGCTGTATGTTGTGATATCATTATTACTTTAAAAAATTATACTGGGCAAAGTTTTTGTAGCACATTTTTGTTTTTTGTTACCAGCTGTCTTTATTTAAATTTACAGTGTAATGTATTTACTGCCTTTGTTTGTGACAATTTATTTGTATTAATTTCTTAATGCATGTTCTAAAAACAGCTGCTTCATGTTTACTGTGTCATCAAGTTAACTAAAGCCACCATAAAACTTTAGGTGTGATTTATCATAAATGTTTTATAGAAACCTGGGTAATTATCAGTGCAGGTAGGTAGGTAGGTAGGGACAATAAAGGTTTTATAATAGCTATTTATTAAAAAAAAAACAACCCTAGCTAGAATTTTTCTTTATTTCCAGTTTTCCACAAACATTTGTTCGGGATTCAGCTGATCTTTTGTAGATCTTCTGTAAAAAGATTCCTTACTCTTAAAGCCATTCTGCATGAAAAATTAAATTAACTTCCTGGTTAAATAAAGGTTATAAATAAATATAATTAATTGAACTTTTGCTATTTTCGCATTTCCTGGTTGGTTTTTTTNGAGTTGGAACAAATTTTGTCTGAAAATATAAATTTTATGTTTCCTTGCCTAGTAGCGAAATGTGTATCTTGAATTTCTATTACCAGTAATCAGATTTTGCTGCAAATCATCAGGAGAAAAAAGGGTGCAGAATGAAATAAAATCTTAAAAGACCTGTAGATGTCCTGGAAAACTATAAAACACTTCACCGCTTTGAATATTTGGTGGAAAAAAAAAACTTTGTTCATTTAACTAGGGTTATGTAAGTAGAAATGGTGCMGACTGTTATTTTTAGTTTATGACAAACTAAAACAGATTATAATATGCCACGTATAAGTAAATATATATCTTATTGTCACATCTAATAAAGAAGCTTGCCTAACTMATTTTCTTTATTAAAACGGAAAGCTCAAACAGACTTTAAAATAAACTTTATTGTCWGGAAACAACACACTATGAGTGAAAGCTGATTTTTAGATGTAAGAGAAAGTGGGCTTGAAATCAGTAGGTCACTGGCTCAAATCCTGGGACTGTTGCATCAAAAATGTGGTTGCCTCCACCTGTATTTACCCTTGATCCACACGTTGTCTACAGTGTAACTCAGGGGTCGTGTGTTTCTGTCACAAAGGGCTTCCAACTTTTTAAAAAAAAATATTGATATTTTTGATCTAAAAATGAGACATTGTTGGGCTCAGACCTTTTTAAAGATTGCACATAATGCTAAAGACAAGAAGACATTCAGTAGTTTCCATCTCATTACTTTTRCACCTGTCTGCCACAAGCAGCTGTCAGTTCTTTCAGCTGCTAAAGCTGTTAAAGTTGGAATTGTATTGTGTGTTTAGAGCTGTAGTATTGTAAATATGTCTCTGTGTTGCAGGTTTCAGCATTGAAAGACCAAGGCAACAAGGCTCTGAGTGCAGGAAATATTGACGAGGCTATACGTTGTTACACTGAAGCCCTGACCGTCGACCCATCAAACCATGTGCTGTTCAGTAACCGCTCAGCTGCCTTCGCCAAAAAGGGCAATTATGAGAATGCCCTCCAGGATGCCTGTCAGACCATCAAGATCAAGCCTGACTGGGGCAAGGTGAGAAAGTTTGTGCTGTCATTCTGTTCAATCTATTAAAAAGAAAACAGGAAGTAAAATCTCAAACTTTTTTCTCTCAGGGCTATTCTCGCAAAGCTGCAGCGTTAGAATTTCTTGGTCGGTTGGAGGACGCTAAAACAACGTACCAGGAGGGACTCCGCCAAGAGCCGGGTAACCAGCAGCTGAAGGAAGGTCTGCAGAATATTGAGGCCAAGCTTGCAGGTACAAACAAATGTTTCCAAGGAAATTATTGTGCCTCTTCTTTCAGCAACGGTTACTTGAAGACTCATTTCTTTGTTTTGGGATCATTAATTGAAAATATCTCGCTCTTTACCAGAGAAATCGATGATGAACCCCTTCGCCATGCCCAACTTGTTCCAGAAGCTGGAGAACGATCCTCGGACCAGGGAGCTCTTGTCAGATCCGAGCTATAGAGAACTGCTGGAGCAGCTCCGKAACAAACCGTCAGAACTTGGAGCGTATGTTTAATTTTCTTTTTCAATTTAAACATATTGCTAAAATTAAAGTAAAACCCCTAATTATAAAATACGTTAGGGTAGAATTGTTTATTTTTATTCTTAAGGAATACATGTTTAATGTTTTCTAGGAGAATGTTATTCACTCTGTTTAAAAAGAAACTAATTAGAGTTTAAAAAAAAGTTTTGTTTCATTTAAAGGCGGTGAGATTTAGAGTTAATTGTCAGCTGTCTTGTAGGAAGCTGCAGGATCCAAGAGTGATGACTACACTCTCTGTGCTGCTGGGACTGAACCTTTCTGAAATGGAAGAAGAAGAGGAGCCCACTCCTCCTCCTCCCCCCAAACCTAAAGAAACCCCACCACCTCCTCCCAAAGAGGAAGACCTCCCTGAAAATAAAAGAATGGTAAGTTCTTTAATAAATTAACATTCTGTTTTCTGGTAAGTGTCTGTTCTGAATGTGGCTCTCCTCCTTCAACAGGCTTTGAAGGAAAAAGAATTTGGGAATGCTGCGTACAAAAATAAGGACTTTGACAAAGCTCTGAAACATTACGAAGAAGCGGTTAAGCATGACCCCACCAACATGACGTATTTATCTAATCAAGCAGGTTTGTATCTTCTGCTTAGAGGATTCTTCAGCAAAGTATGTAACATAAAAAATGTGTTCATTAGAACTAAAATGAAATTAATTCTCTAATTGTTGAAAATGTTGTTTTTCAGCTGTTTATTTCGAGAAGGGAGACTTTGAGAAGTGCAGAGAGCTGTGTGAGAAAGCCATTGATGTTGGTCGAGAAAACCGTGAAGATTATAGACAAATAGCAAAGTAAGTTCCTTCAGCTATTTCTAACAGAAACAGCATCATGATCTGTTTAAAGCTAGAAATTACATGTTTGGACAAGAATATAGTGGTGGGAAAATGAAGCTTTTCAGAAGCACTGAAGCTTGTTTTGACAAAGGGCTCATAACTCGAACACAGTTCTCTTTATCGCCATCTTGTGGCCAAAAGCATGAAAAGCAGCATGAAACTACAAAATAACTCTTCATGATGATGATGAAGTTGACAGATGTTTAATATCCTGAGACGTTTCTGTCTGAGGTCAGGTTTTTGTTGTACTCGTCCCCGTGGCTTCTTGACATTTGTAAACACAGATTATGAAAACATCCTAATTTATTAACAGCAAAGTTTAAGATAACGATTGTGCTGCCAGTTCTCTGCCTCAGTGACTTAATGTATTCACCCTGTTTGTTTACTGTAAGATCATATTGTATCATGAACATATAGTCATTTWTTTATTTTTATTCAGGTAAAATGCTTATAGACTGGTAAACTAAACACAAGTCTGTCTGGCTCCATGTCTCACCATAAGTCACTCACTGGTTTGCATTTTGTGAAAATTTGCCACCAAAACACACCATGGATCCAGTGATTCACTTCCCTGTAAACCTCTGAATCAGGCACCAAAGCTGTGACATCATTAATCATGTGACTTTTTTTTCAAACAAATCAAGCTCTGACTCAGTGCATCTGAAACATATTTTTTATTTTGATAATTTGAGAAAAAATATGAATCTATTTTAAGTTATTGTTTTTTATCTAAGTATTTTCAAAAGCTCGACTAGCACRCTGTACAAATGTGAATCTATAAAATGTCTTGGGGAAAATGTTGCCACAGTCTTTAATGAAAAATATCCTTAAAAGTTCTTTATAATGAAATTTTATTTATAATTAAAAAGAAGCAGAACATAAAAATAACAAGATGGCACATTTTGTGTAGATCACTGATTTGGATGCAAGTGGCTGCAGCAGTCTGTAAATGCCGCTCTTTAGAGTAAATCATTGATTYTTCTGTTTGTTTGCAGGGCTCTGGCTCGAATTGGTAACTCCTACTTCAAGCAGGAACAATACAAAGAAGCAATTCAGTTCTTTAACAAGAGTTTGACTGAACACCGGACTCCTGATGTCCTGAAGAAATGTCAACAGGTGTGGTTATAATGTAGCTGCTCACTTAATTAAAACACTGGTTTTAAAAGTTAATTAAAATACATATTCACAGCTACCTCAGAACTACTTAAACCTTGATTTTATATTTTTGTCTCTGCAGGCAGAGAAGATACTGAAGGAGCAAGAAAAACTAGCCTACATCAACCCTGATTTGGCGCTCGAAGAAAAGAACAAGGGCAACGATGCCTTCCAGAAAGGTTCGTGAAACAGTTTGTTGCTTTTATTGATTAMTACTTAAAGAAGTTGCATAAAGATGACTTCCTCTCTGTTCCATCTCACAGGAGACTACCCCTTAGCCATGAAACATTACACTGAGGCCATTAAGAGAAACCCTAATGATGCCAAACTCTACAGTAACAGAGCTGCCTGCTACACGAAGCTGCTGGAGTTTCAGCTTGCCCTCAAGGTACCAAACACACAAATCACACAAAGCACCTCTGGTTTAAACCTTCATTTGAATATAGAGAGTATTTTCAACAATTAATCTCTTCTTCCTGTCAGGATTGTGAAGAATGCATCAAGCTTGAGCCCACGTTCAGTAAGTATTTTATGGAAAACCTGAAAACAAACTCAGCCATGCGTGGTTTTTTTTTAATCCTTTAAAATTTTGAAACTAAAATTTTATTTGTTTGCAGTTAAGGGCTACACGCGTAAAGGAGCTGCATTGGAGGCCATGAAAGATTATTCCAAAGCTATGGATGTCTACCAGAAAGCCCTCGAGCTGGATTCTTCCTCAAAGGTTTGTCAAAAGATTGGGGGAAATTGTAAAGTCATTTAAGAAGCAGACTTGCGTCAAAGTACACTGTTAGAATTGGGGTTAAATGTTGGGACATAATGAAACAATCTGGTCTTTTTAAGGCTGAAAAATAAAATGCATACAGCCTCAGATGGAGAACTACAACATACAACTACAACATATTACACCAATGTMAGAAAAACTGTCATTTTTGTGTTACCCTCTCTTGTCAAGTGGATGGACCTCAATGACGAGAGGAGAATGTGTAGCGCTGAGCTAATACATATATATGGTGAAAGTGCCGGGGCTAACGCTAAAGCTAACAGGCTAAGCTGAGGTTCTTCTTCCATGAAGCAGCTCTGTTGTCCTCCATCCATATTTTCAGTTCCAGGCTGAGTCATTTCTACCTTCTCCTCTCTGTCAACGCTCTCTGGTTTCATTTAAAAGAGTCGATCATCAGATATTGTCCAAGATTAACCTTCAGGGTGGATATAGCTCGCTAGCAGCCTCGCACCGATGACCTATCCACGTCATCATTTACCCAGAATGCTTTGCGTGTAAATAAAATGGCTCAGTCCATTTAATATAGTTTTAAATTTTTAGTTTAAAAATTATAAAAACTAAACAGCCTACAGTATTTTTACAGGCTTTATTTTACAGTTAAAATAAAAGTTTATCAAATAAAGTCTAATGTAATCTATCATTGATCCCTTTAAGAAGCTGTTTTCTTCTTTTGTTTCTGATATTTAAGTTTAAGGCCCTATAACACTATAATATTTTAGACAACTTGTGCCAACTTRTTCAAATTTTGTCCAATACAAATATGTCTACATTAAAAATGGAATTTAAAATGATCTCCTGAAAGCCTCTTTTTAACATAAACATACTGTGCTGCACACCCTGAGATCAAATTTATAACCATGATTGAAACWGTTATCCCTGGCATGTATAAATGTGAGATGAGGAAGATGACTTTCTAACAAAATCATTTAGTTTTKTTACCAGTGTGATGATTTTTAAACTTAAAGAAACGTCTTGATGAAATTCACAGCAATGAAATGTAGTTTAAGTACACTTTTTTCTTTCTTTGAGCACAACAGAAGCATTACAAATACAGTTTTCATACGCTTAAAAAGTGTGTCTGTGGTTAATTAAAGGGATTATTTTTGTCCACCTGCAGGAAGCTTCAGAAGGCCTGCAGCGCTGCATGGTCAGTCAAGCCATGAGGAACGACAGCCCCGAGGAGGTGAAGAAAAGAGCCATGGCCGATCCCGAGGTGCAGCAGATTATGTCCGACCCRGCCATGCGCATGATCCTCGAGCAAATGCAGAAGGACCCTCAGGCGCTCAGCGAGTAAGCTTAGATTTTTTAAAGTAACAAACGTGTTTCTGCTTGAATTCAAACAAAGTCCAGGTATGAAACTGCTGCTGATTTAAAATCTGTCCCGTTTGATTCACAGCCACCTTAAAAATCCAGTTATTGCTCAGAAGATACAGAAGCTCATTGATGTCGGACTGATAGCCATCCGCTGATATGAGACCAGCTCTGTTTGAGGAGTCTCCCAAGAAARGAGTGGAATCACATGCAGATCGCTCTAAAATATTACACCTCTTTTCTTGCCTTTAAATTCAAAATTATGTTGTCCTTGATCTGACTGGGATTTTGTTTGTTTGTTTGTTTTTTTTTAAATATTGTTCACAGTTTTGACATTGTGTTAGCAGAAAAAAAGAAGCATCTTGTTCGTCCGCTGGAAAACTTCAACACTCAAGACAACTTCAGCTAAAAAAACTGAGTTCACGTGTAAGGATGCTGTAATAACATCTTAAAAAAAAAATAAACGTCACAATGGTGTTCACCACTGCGCTCGGTGTCTGAAGGGGAAAATCTTACTAAAGTTGATCTCAWACTGTATTCATGTTTTATAATAAATCGAAAATGGATCATCTGGTGCCCAAAATGAACGTTGTATTGTTGAGGACAAGTTTGAAGCATTTATGATGTATTTTTCAGGTAATTTGAAAGTTTTTTTCGCCATGTAATACTAGCTTAATGCASTCCCTCAGCAAGCATCAAGTAGTTATAGTGACACAACTCTAAAGTATCAGCTGTATTTAAAAACAAGACTTCTGCAGGGTGATTAACGTGACCGTTGACGGGTGGATTATCTGAACCAGCACCCATCTTTCCTCGCAGTATAAAACTTTATTTGTAAAATATCTTGGGAGTGTTTTACAGCCAGTAAAACTCTTAAGGTTGGTTAATGTGAACTTGTGTCTAGTTTTTGAATTGTTTGTACGAGTGTTTCCATCCGGGCTGCTGCCATAGCTTTGGTCTTCAGAGAGAAAATACATAATCCTTAGTCTGTTTGCCACATGTGGTTTAGGATACCTCAGTCTTCTTTTGTTAGTGTGTTTGAGCTAAAGCTTCAAAGTAAGAGACTTTCCTCCCTTATTATTTTTTAAACAGACRGTAGGATTGTTTTACTGCAGTTTTCTACAATATGCAAGAAAAATTGGGGTATGGGTTTTATTTCTTTCACATTGTTCTCAAACAGCATTCAAGAAATGTAAAAAAAAAAAAAAAAGGCTGTCCCAGATGGTGTCTTGTATTAGAAAACAGCTGTACTCTGAAATATAGATTATCTGCATACCAAAAGGTTAGTGGTGGTTTTTCCTTCTTTTTTAAAGAATTTGGTACAGGTGTGGTTTATATGAGCCTTAATATAATAATTTTATGTGCACTATGTACAACAGAKGCTCAAAACCCTTTTTAGTTTTGGCTACTTTGTTAAATACTTGCGTAGGCATAAAATAAACGATGGATTTTGTCCAAAAAGGGGAAATAAAACATTTTATCAGGATAATAAGCTGTCAGAAATGTGGATACACCCTGCTGTCCCATAGTTTACCAATTTAGGGGTCGTTGCCTAGTAGTTATGGCAAAGAAATTACATATTTGACTAAACCTTCATTGCTTTGCTTCGTGTACACTTCCGCTTTACGACTTTTCTAGTAAGCTCGCCCCGCCCACAAATATTGATCACGTGACTGGACGTCGCCCAGGTTTGCTCGAAAGCATCCTGGTGTTAGCCGTTCAGGGCTAAAAACAAAAAAGTGGGACGTAATTATTTTCAAGATGAATGAAGCGCCTGTTTTACTCTAGTGGACGCAAAGAAGATAAGGAACTACCGTGTCTGTCTTCTTCCAGCAMTGCCTGGCTGCTCGTGTCCGAAGAGGCCAGCTAAAAATGGCTAGCAACACATTAGCGTTTTAGCTAATGGTTCAAACTTTGACTGGCAGCTGCAGCTACTCGCTAGTTAAACATTTCTTCTTGTAGCTAATATGATAATTAAGAAATGCTGTAGGTGTTGACACACTAGCATTGTCGCGCTTTAGCTCAGCTGTTTCGTTTAAAAGAGTTACATTTTTACCAAAAAACTATTAGCTACCTTTATGAAAAATGAGTACTGATGAGAAGCTAATGCTAACAATAGCGTTTTAAACTGCTTGTAAAGGTGCAACAAGTCAGAGACACTGAAAATAGTTTTATTATTCAGTTAAATTTGTTATAACTAAAGGCAACAGTTTTTAAAGCAAAACTGTTAAAAACTTGTGGGTTTCCTGAGTGATATAGAGCAGTCACAACAGGAGCTATAATAATGTAAAAATGTCAGACGAGTGGGGATTAACACAACAAACAGCTGTCCTGTCAGCCCCGTAATCCTTGTGTTCTTCGCAATGAATCAACAATAGATTTGTTTTTATTGTTCAGCCTGTAGCCGTAATATATTATAACTTTTAATACTATTTGCCTCCGCGTCCATTTAAAGTTTAGCTTGTATACAGTCTTGTTTTTGCTGAAGTTATGTCGGGGGACACATCTGACAGCAGTGAGGACTCTGATGGACAAACTAACGAGAAGGCCTGTACTGTCAAACATGAAATCACCAATGGTAAGTCAAACTTCATCTAATACAAACATAATTCCTCTCAGGTTTTTAAAAAGTAGATGACGAAATAGTTAAATGTTTGTAAAAGCAATCTGTACTCAATTTTAATCGCACTGTTTTCAATTTAAGTGAATGAATGTGGGGTCTAATCTCCACCAAGTACAATAAAATCTACATAATATATTTTAAATTTGATTGAATATCCAGAATGAGCACACAAAGCAGATGTAATTCATGCTGTATCAACTTTGCTTCTTTATTTATAAGGTGAATTTTGGCTCATAATTTTTATACATTTGCTCATTTATGGAACTATCCTGATCATAGTTACTGTGATTGATATTGTAATTAATATTATCAAACATGCTTCCTAAATTTGTTTGGAAACATAAAAAATAAGAATTGTGTTTAAAATGATAATCATGAAAACATAAAATCAACATAATAACATACACTTGTGCTGTGTTGTGGGGCTCCTATGAAATCGGTTTCCTGTTTTGGCTTCCAGATGATCTTTTTCTTGTTATTTGTCCCCACATTTTTTTTATTTTTGTTTTTATAAAGGTGTAACTTCACTCATACCAGCTACAATGTCTTGAATAAAGTTATGTCTTGCTTCAGCTAACATGATTTCATGTGGAGTTGGTTATTTTGATTTGTGCTCGATTTCTCTCTAATTTGATGAAAGGGAGGAAAAGTGCCACAATTGGAAAGGAAAGACTAAATAAGAAAAAGCAAAATGTCAAAACATTTGTGATATATATATATTTGTGATTACTTTGGTTTTTTATTGCTTGGAGCCATAATCCATCCAAATACTGTATAATGAATAGTGCAGTTCTGAAATAATAATAATCACAATAATAAATGTTCAAAAGTAATGTGTGATTGTATTTACTTTTTATCTTTTGGTATACTTAAAAAGTCCTGTTTTTTTCCCCTCTCTCTAACTAGCTAACCTTACAGGTCACACTGAAAGGGTTGGCATGGAGAACTTTGAGTTGTTGAAGGTTTTGGGTACCGGAGGTAAGAATCTACATCCATCTTGACATATAACCATGTAAAAAGAGACTTTTTTTCTCTTTCAGTCATAGTAAAACAAAACCTCTAAAGAACAGAAATATCTGACCTTTACCACAGTGTCATTTTTTCTTAGAAACCAAACCAAAAGTATTGATTTTAAATTGTAATAAAGATGGTTATCAGCCAGTTACTGCAATTAAAATAAATTACTTAAATCATCAGCAGTTGTTACTACTTCTTTAAAAGCACAAGTTTGGTCTTTTTTGTGGTTTGAAGCATTCATGAGGCAGTAGGGCTGTGTATTGGCAAGAATTAGATGATGAAACATATAAAAAAACTCCACACCATGCATTACATGCATAAAATCTGATAAAATTCAGTTTGTGTTTATGTATTTAGAAGAACACTGAACAAAATTGGAATGATTATGTAACTTGTGTCTGTTTTTGTCCAGCTTATGGCAAAGTGTTTTTGGTCAGGAAGAACAGCGGTCATGATGCGGGACAGCTGTATGCCATGAAGGTAACACATGATTCATCTAATGTGATCTGATGTAACAAGGTAGAACTAGTGAATGTGTTTCCTGTGAAAATGCAGTGTGAATGCTTAAAGTAGACAGTATCAGAAACCAGTTGAAATTAGCAGACAGATTGTGAATGGAGAGTAAAAAAACTCACATTGGCAGAAAACCTAGAAAATGAGTACAAAAAACTTGTTTTTGTTGTGAAACAGCAGCTGAAATTGACAGAAACATAGCTGAGCTCATGTTTGCTGAATTCAACAGCAAGAAGCTGAAAATATCACAAAACGATGAATTCAGATAAAAACTAAAATTGGATGAGAATAGCTACAAAGTAGCTATAAAGGCAGGAAAATGGCTGAAAGTAGCGGAAATCAGCTAAAAGAAAAATAAAAGCTTTAATTAGCAGAAAGAAGCTGATAGAAGCCTTAAAAGTTTAAATTAACAGAAGAAGAGCTGAAAGGAGCAGAAAGACTAAAATTAGCAAAACAAGAGGTTGAAGGAGGCTGAAATTAGCACCAAAAATTTGAAAAAAAAAAAAAGCAGAAGGTACAGTAAAGATTTATGAATGTTTCAAAGGATTTTAAGGCTGCGTTCATTTTCAGTGAAACAAAAAATGACGGGAAAAGCTAAATAGTTGAAAAAGTTGCTGAGATAACCAAGTCATACCACTGCTTAAATGAACTGAACGTTTTGATACATGAAATGTTGAAATAGCATAAAAATGTGGAACAGGTTAGATGCTGAAAAACATACGGAAGAAAACAGGATAATCTCAATAGATGAAACAATTATAATTTGACTTTCCTTTAATTCAGCACATTTAGGTTTCTCTTAATTTAAAGGAAGGTCTGACTGAACTACCATGTACTGAATATTTACAAGAATGAAAAAAGTACTCGCCCTGCTTGTATGAACTCTGCAGGTATTAAAGAAAGCAGCTATCGTTCAGAAAGCAAAGACGACAGAACACACTCGCACCGAGAGGCAGGTGTTGGAGCACATTCGCCAGTCTCCCTTCCTGGTGACGCTTCACTACGCCTTCCAAACTCAGAGCAAGCTACATCTCATCCTGGGTGAGTGCCACGCCTCCAGACAAATCCTGAAAACTCTGCTATCGGTCCTGATGGAACACTGAATATATGTCTGCTTTATGTTTCTGTTTTTACACTCAATGTGTTTTTGTTGGCACATGCATGACACGTGTTTGTGTTACTTTTGTCATATGTCGTTTCAAGCTCCCCTCTGTATTTGTCTGTGTGTGTGTGAGTACAGACTATGTGAGTGGTGGCGAGATGTTTACTCATTTGTACCAGCGGGATCACTTTTCCGAGGAGGCGGTGCGGATTTATATTGGGGAGATAATTCTTGCTCTGGAGCTCCTGCACAAGGTGAGTCTTTCTCCTCTGCAGCTTTAAAACCTGCTTTCTGTTGACAGGGTTTTAACTCCTGCAGGTTGAACATCTTTAGTCCTCACACTAGATTATTTTCTGTTTTATCCACGTTTTAACTTCATAGCTAATTTTGTTCAGCAGTGATCATTTCATTAAATCTTATATATGATATAAAAATAAAACTTTTTGATTATATGTTTGTTTTCAGTGCAATGTAGTTTTTAGGCAGGAAGTTGTCTCATGCTTTTTTGTGTGTTAAAAAGCCACAGGAAGTGGTTACCTAATAATTTTACACAACTGTAGTTGGAAATGTTACTCAAAGCAGCAGCTTTTATCTTTCATGTGCTTAAACCATTTTATAGAAGTCAGTGTCATTTAAAAACATACAGAGAGCACATTTCAGATTGTTTTCAATTATCACCAGTCTCTAGTTGTTACTGGCAGCTGTTGGTTTCACAGTCGATCCTTCACATCATTTTTAAAACGTGTAAGAAAATGGGTTTTTACAGAAGTTCTTCAAACTAGTTTAAAACTTTGTCTGATGGGCACCAATAAAACTCTCTTTGTTGTCCTTAAAGGGGAAAATCCACTTTTTTTAGCCCTTTAAATGCATTTTGTTGTGGACTTGGAGTCTCTGGGAAAGCAGAAAAGTTGAATTTATTTTCTCCCGGTGCTGTGTAGATATCTTTATATCCTGTTTGGGTCATATTTTTCMACTCGTTCAGTTGTCTCTGTTCTCTTTTACATGTTTTGAACAATAACGTCACAGGATTTGTTTGCTTATTTTGAGAATCCGCGATTCTACAGGTTTCTTCAGACCCTGGTTCTGGGTCAGACCCTGGTTCTGGGTCAGACCCTGGTTCTGGGTCAGACTCTGGTTCCAACATGTAAGGCTGGATGGACAAGTCTTCTGTTGTTGACATCTTTTAATTTATTTGTAGATAAAAAAAAGTTCATAATTGTATCTCTGCTCTCAAACTACACAAGTAGCTGAACAGGGTACGAAGCCCCTCATTTGCATTTAAAGAGACAGCACCAAAACGAGTTGATCTGAGATGCACCTGAAAGAGGGGCTTGTGGACCTACAATAACCAGGAATTCAGACAAAGCATTGCAGTTATACTTCAWATAGACCCCAACTGAATGATTTAAATATGAAAAAGAAGGATTTAAAAGCAGGATATCTCTCCTTTAATGTTTTCGTCATTATCTATTCCTCATGTTATCTCTGCGTCTAACATAAACATGATTAATAACCTTTCATCGTCTTTATGCAGCTTGGGATTGTTTACCGAGACATCAAGCTGGAGAACATCCTCCTGGACAGCGAGGGTCATGTGGTTTTGACAGATTTTGGGCTCAGCAAAGAGTTTCTGGAAGAAGACGTACGTAAAGCAGTGATCAGTGCCAGTTTGCTGTAAGTGCACGTGAGCCGTAATGATGTGTGAACCCTGCTGTTTCACCTCATTTCAGAAGGGAAGGACCTACTCTTTCTGCGGCACCATTGAATACATGGCTCCTGAAATCATCAGAGGAAAGTCTGGACATGGAAAGGTAAAGTCTTTGATTCGATGTTCAGGTGTTGAGTGCAAATTATTTTATTTTAGCTACTTATGTAAGTTCTACATAGGAATGCAAGCAAAATGCACAGAAGTGAAACATGTATATGATTTTATGGACAAATCTTTACACTAAAACAGGGGTGTCCAAACATTTTGTCACATGGGCCAAAATTATCAGTCAGAAGGATTTGAGAGCCAAAAATAATTTTCCTTTACCTCCAGAAGAATAAACTAAGCATTGAATACTTTAATTAAACAAAGTAGTCAGATTTATTGCTGGAAATGGATGTGTAAATTAATCAAGATCCAGAACTTTAAAAGCCTTTTGCAGGTTTCCCTTATTGAAAAAAATTTTGCAACTTTCTAAGTTTCAGTTGGAGAAAGAATAAACCAATTTAGTCAATTCTGATCAATAAAATCAAGATTTAGGTCACTGTTTCACTGAAAATGCTTGCTGTATTCAGACAAATTTAATAAATTAGTTGAAAGAAAATTGGAGCGCAGCAAAATTAGCTTTTGAGTAGAAGTAACTAGATGCGGAAAAAGCTAAGAGCCTGGTTATTTAAAGACAAATGGTATTGTTGCCAATATTTTATTTAGTGATGAATTTGCCCTAATAATAAATAGACAATCTCCATCTACATCAAACAGCTGTGCCAGGAGGACAAATTTGTTAACAAATTAGTATAATTCTTGAACTTAAGTCAGGGGTCACACAAAATCAGTTCAGGAGCTTTGCTTTAAACTGGAATATGGGGGGGGACATATTTTTTTAGTTCTGCAATTGTCTTCTTACCAAATTAGTTGTAAACAAACAAAACTAACAATAAAAAAGCAGATTATGTGTCATATATTTTATTTTGAAACCGAATAACCAAAGCATGACCCGTACACGAATTTAAAAGCAGTTTGGTCAGTGTTTCTCAGGAGCCTCTCAGATTATGGAGGATTATTTTAACTCACTGCTTAGACCCCCGATGTTTTAATTGGTTTGGTTAGAAAGAGTGATCTGTGTCTGATCTACCACGGTCCTGTCGCTTTTTATGAACTTGTGTTCTGCTCCAGTCCGTAGACTGGTGGAGCCTCGGGATCCTGATGTTTGAGCTGCTGACGGGAGCGTCTCCTTTTACCTTGGAGGGAGAAAGGAATTCGCAGAGTGAGGTGTCAAAGTAAGTCGGCTTTGTTTTTTGTTCCAAACAATCTGATCAATGAGGAACAGGTGGTAAAATCAAAGGATACATGTTGAAATCTCTTCACCTCTGCCTCTCAGGCGCATTTTACGCTGCGACCCGCCGTTCCCCTCCATGATTGGGCCTGTTGCTCAGGACCTACTGAAGAAATTACTGGTGAAAGATCCTCACAGGAGGCTGGGCTCTGGGCCCAGAGGAGCCGAGGACATCAAAGCTCATGCTTTCTTTAAGGTCTTTTACATCTTATACCCTCCTGCCACATAAGCGTCTCTCCTCCCCTGCAATTTATAACTCTTCTCATCTGGGGTTCGTTCCCTAACAGGGTCTGAACTGGGCCGACCTAGCTCAGAAGAAAGTACAGAGTCCTTTTAAGCCAGAGCTGAAAAATGAGCTTGATGTGGGCAACTTTTCTGAGGAGTTCACAGGAATGGAACCCGTCTACTCGCCGGCGAGCACACCTCCGAGCACAGACCGCCTGTTCCAGGTCAGTCCTCATCTTCAACCACTTCCTGAGAAATGAAGTACCTGCAATTACTTAAACCAGACCGTCTAAAGGGAGTTTCCTCTCACACTTTTCTCCTGTTTCAGGGCTATTCCTTTATTGCTCCTTCCATTTTGTTCAATAAGAACGCTGTCATGGGAGACTTTGTAGAGGCTCAGATTGGAGCCGACAGACCAGCTTCTGCTTCTGTCCGGCACAGTGCAATGGTGAAGGTACGGACTCTCAAACCTAAATGTGGCTAATATTTCAAATCATTTGAGCCCAGATCATTAAACATTTATCATTTGCTTGTGTTAGTAAAAATTTAACGTTAAAATAAAACYTGTCATGTTTTATTTATTTACAGTATGTAGCACACCTACATATTCATTGTTATTGTGTCAAAAAAAATCTGGCAGTCTTGTATAAAGTATCTCAAATTGATACTTGAATAAAAATACACATATCTTACCATAAAATGATTTAGTCTTAAAGTATCTGACATTTACTGTACTTGCATATCTGATATAAAATTTACCTAAGAATTAAAAGTATTGAGTAAAAATGGTTAGAATTTCCAGAATGACATTTACTGAGAGGCAACCTCTCCAGAAAAAAACAAATAAAATTAAAGGCCRTAATGATTTTAGTGCTATATTAAAATGTTGATATTGAAAGATGTAGGTTTCAGCWGCAGATCCATCTGTCATGCTCTTCATACAGGCTACATACAACTGATCCTGTATGTTCTGCTGGGGTGTGATTTGTGTTGTGCAGATGTAATGGATCATACAAACCATCAGTCTCAGCGTTATATTATTTATATTTATCATCAAGCTACATTTAAATTCACTCCATCAGGGTGTCAGCCTTATATCTTGATTTGTTTTTCCAACGATAGCAAGSCAAATTGAGAAAAAGAAGTAACAAGACTAGAGTGTAAAAGTAAAAAGTCGACTCCAGTAAAGTTTAGATACTTAACTTTTCTTTTTAATTAAAACAAATAAAGTATTTGTTGTATTACACCTCTGCAATCTAATCACTAAATAAATCAGATTTATGTCTTTTTTTTATCTCAGTGACATGTTGGAAAACAAAACCTCCATTTTTTGTTTGTTCAGGAATCTCAGTTTTTTCTGCACTATGAGCTGGATTTTCAGAGCCCGCCGCTCGGTGAGGGGAGTTTCTCTGTGTGCAGGAAATGCAGACATAAACAAAGTGGCCACGAGTACGCCGTCAAAATCGTCAGCCGCAGGTGGGTTGAGATGTAATGCCTGTTATTTATTGACTTTCTGATAACTCTGCTGTTATCACATCACTCAAAAGCACTTTTAACCCTTGAGCTTTGATTTATTTATTTATTTTTTAGGATGGAGGCAAATACTCAGAGGGAGATCGCTGCGTTGAGGCAATGTGAAGCTCACCCAAACATTGTGAAGCTGTATGACGTCTACACTGATCAGGTTTAAAAACAGATAACACAGAAGGTTCAACATCTGTAACTGAACTGACATAAAGTTAATATATTTAACCCATCACATCACGCAGCCACGTCGACGTTGGCACACYTCTCATAGCCCATGAGACACATGTTCCTGGGAAACCCCTCCCACTGCCGTACATATCACTGCACGGACATCTTCCTGCTGCACCCTGGGAAAATAAATCCCCACTCCGATATCYACCATTACTTTTGCCACAAATCTTCAAACTTGGGATAGAAATGGGATAACGTTAAATTCCTGGCCGGAGCTGGAGATTCTAATTCCCCATTTGTAACTGAATGCACCGTTAAGACATTAACCTTAAACCGCAACAAGACAAATCTAAATTTGTTTGCAATGTGACGAGTGGTGAGCTGAAACTAACAAGCCTCCTCTGCCTCAGTACCACACATATTTAGTGATGGAGCTCCTGCGAGGCGGGGAGTTACTGGAACGGATCAAGAAGAAGAAGCTGTTTGACGAGGCGGAGGCCAGTCAGCTGCTGCAGAGCCTGGTCTCAGCTGTCAGCTACATGCACGAGGCTGGAGTTGTGCACCGAGATCTTAAACCTGAGGTGTTATTTTTGTGTTGTTTTAGCTCGTGTTTKACGACAAACTGAACCTCACAATCAGATGATGAAACACTGTAGGTTCCTGACCGCTGTGTCTGTTCGCCGTGCAGAACGTGCTGTTCACAGACGAGGGGGAGCAGTCGGTGCTGAAAGTAATYGACTTTGGATTTGCCCGCCTGTGCCCTGCAGGCAGTGCCCCCCTGCAGACCCCCTGCTTCACACTGCAGTACGCGGCGCCGGAGCTGTTCGAGAGCGCGGGATACGACAAGTCCTGCGACCTCTGGAGTCTCGGGGTCATCCTGGTAATTTGGCATGTTGGTTCTGCACATTTCTGTGGCGCTAACCGCGGTACTGATGGCTGTGTGTGTGTTGTACAGTACACCATGCTGTCAGGCCAGGTGCCGTTTCAGAGCGAGCAGCGTGGGGTGACCTCGTCGTAYGCTGCCGACATCATGCAGAAGATAAAAGAGGGGGACTTCTCATTGGACGGAGAGGCCTGGAAGGGCGTGTCAGAGGATGCAAAAGAGCTTGTTAAAGGTTTGGTTTTATTTATTTGCTTTTTGTGTGTCTGAACCTGTTTTGATAGATTGTTACATTTAGCCAATAATGATTAACACCGATTCTAGTCACATSACTGATTTAAATCACTTGAATGGGAAAGACACACCATCTCTAAGAATCTGTTTTAATTTGTGTCAGAAGTTGAGACTTCAAACTATACAGCAGTTTTTAAATTGTGTTAATAAACCAGGTAAAAACAGATTAATGATAAATAATTTACGGCACTTTTTTTAAAAAATGTTTGTCATATTTGAAGCCCGTTGCAGTGAAAGACGTGTAGATTCACAGGAGAAACATCAGCCTCTGCTCTAACCTCCACCTCCGTTTTGACTGAGCTCTGAGGTTATTTGACAAGCGCCAAAAAATTTACATGAAGAAAAAGATCCGAAAGTTGAATAAAGTTCAGGGACGATGGAGACACAGGTCATTGTTTTAAAATATTTATTTTTACTGTAAAGCAAAGACTGTAAACATACTGTAGGCTCTTTAGTCTTTATAAATTTAAAACGTATATTGTCACACGGACGGTGCCATATTATTTATGTACTAGGTAAAAAATGACGTTWACTAGATCCTCTGGCAGGTTTTGTTTTCCTCCGATGTGAGCTCTTTCCACCCTGAAGGTTAATTTTGGATAATGCCYGTGTCTCAGTTCATGGGTTGCAGCCATGTCGGCCACTTATGTCACCGCCCCCCGCTGTAGGCTGTCCCAATTCGTAGGYGCTTAYTCATGACRAAACCCTGAAAACTTAGGCTGCCTCTGATCCTGCACAGCCGATGGTAAGAGAAGAGAAGAGGAGCGCTGAGTGGACTACTGGGGTCCCGTATGTTAATCTGCCTGGAGGCACTAATTGCCAAATTGTCTGATGATTAGCTGAACACAATATGATTTTTCTCAACCCTAGTTTTTACATGTCACTGTGTGATTGAAGGTCTACTGACTGTGGATCCAGAGAATCGGCTCAAACTCTCAGATTTGAAGGAGAACAGCTGGCTGCAAGGCGGGGCGTCCATGTCCACCACRCCTTTGTGCACGCCAGATGTGTTGGAATCCAGTGGGCCTACAGTCCGCACCTATGTCAATGCCACATACAAGGTAGGAGCTTCATTCAGAGACTTTCTCAAAACKCTTAGAGGAGACGTTTGCATTTTTTAATTCTTTTATTATTTTTTTTACATCAGGCTTTCAACCGCGGCAAGAGGGAGGGCTTTTTTCTGAAAAGTGTGGACAACGCACCGCTCGCAAAGCGGCGCAAGCTCAAGATGACGAGCACAGGCGTCGAGACCCGATGGAGTTCATCCTCTTCCTCCTCCTCTTCTTCCACTTCCTCCTCGGCGTCTGCGACGGCGTCCAAAGAGCAGAGGAAGCAAACCGTGACCCTGAAGCAAAGCAAGCTAAAATGACATGATCGAACAAAGCTGAAAGGATTCTGGCAACGTGTTGTCCTCCAGTGGTCAGTACCCCCCTACAACGACAACAAAAACAAATAAAATACTGACAAAACACTGGCGCAGGTAAACCCAAAGTTTTCAAAGCAAAAACAAGTTTCCTCCTGTTTAAAAGYCTTCAGCTTTTTCTACCTTTTTCTCCTAAAAACAAACATGTTTTGCTTGAAAGGAGAAAACCCGACCGTGAGAATTGAATTCTTAATCAGTATTTGTTCAGCACAATTTAGCTAGAAATCACTGTGGCTACTGAACAGTGCCTGGTTATTTAGGGAAGAAAAGGGAAAAAAGGAGCCTTTCATGAGCAGAAGCCATAAAAGCTGCAGAAGCAGTGAACTTAAGCGAGAAGTGCACAGTTTCATGTTTGAATCATTTTAAACCACGGCAGAAAGAGAATATAGGCACTGCTCCGTACAGCAAGCAGCTTTAATGTGAGGACAAGTTTAGCTGTTTGCAGCGGCAGCAGGGAGGAGCAAYGATCAAATAGTTTAGGGTGAATTATTCCGTTTTGGAGAAAGTTGCTGCAGCTCCATTACACCACCAGCTCTGTGGATCCCGTTTGAACACTTTGTGGAGCTCCAGTCTCCGATTATTGAGCCTGAGTTTGACTCGAAGCAGGTGCAGCTGTGACAAGTTCAGCAGAAGTGCTTGTTTTAAAAAAAAAAAAAAGGTTGTGAAGACAAAGACGCAGTCATGAAATGTAAACACTCGCTGTAAATATCTGTTGTTGTGCCGGATATTTCTAGCATGCTTCTAAGAAAAAAAAAATCTCTATTTTGGTATCTGACAGATTAAAATGATCACTAGAACACTCTAGTGCAGATGAAGTGTTTGCACAAAGATGGGAACTGAAAGACTTTGTTGAGTCGGAGAAGATTTGAGTGGTTTAGTTTTTACATTTTAAAAGGAGTTTTCTCTTGGTGCCATGCGAGGCTCCCATAAATATCACCGAATTTTTATACAGAGAGCAGTTTGGGTTTTTTTGTACCTTGGTGCGTCTTTTTGTTCTTATTTTCCYGAGGTGACTTTAGAGCGATTGTAAAGCTTTTAAATTGAATCGATTTTACAGAACGAGACACTTAATTACAACTTGAAGGGAGACCATCCTTTGAAAGTAATGTACAAACACTTTATGATTTTGAGCAACAAAAAAAAAAACAAAACAAAAAAACTAGAGTATGTAATGATTTATGCTGTTGAAATGGTATATTAATGTAATGTTTTTATTGAACTTTTTAAATGTTGCACAGTCAGTTGATCAATTAAACACATTTCAGCTTTAAAAAGTGCTTTTGCTGATATTTATTATGCCTTTGATTTTATTTCTATGGTTATGGGATTATCATGATTTGGCTCTTTTTGTGTTCTGTGTGTGTGAGTGTGTGCGTGATGCCTGCTGGAGATGATGTTTCTGTACCAGGTGAGGCGTTTTACTGTATTATTTTCTGTCGTGTTTTCCCATCGGTGTCTTTTTAAAGGTAACTGGTTGTTTTGTGTTTGAGCTGAACCCCTTTTGCTTAAAAGTTGCTTTTATTGTTGTTAAATGTTTTTAGGTGAATTTTTTTTCTTCCCTCTCTTTTCCTGTTTTACTGAGATGCACTGTCACTGATGWTGTAAATGAAAATTTATCTTTGGCACCAAGTTTTCCTTTTTTTGCTCGGTGCAAAATAAACATTACTTTTAAATAGATTGTTGARTGTTTGTGTTTCAGGTGTTCAGCTGATATTTAACTTGTCAGATTAGTGAGATGTTTTTTTTTATTTTAGTTCCTATAAAATATCTGATACGACTGCTCAGAATGAGATGAGGTTTTAACATTTCTCTACAGCAGCACTATTTCGCTAATTTAAATTTAATTTATCCTCCAGACTTCTTAACATACAAGCTAACACTAGCATAGTGCTCTACTTTAGCTACCGCCTGAGACCCTGCGTCCTCATACACGGACTAAATCTTTGCCCCTCTGCCTATGGTACATCATATTTTTCAACTTTAACCCAATGGCCTCCTTTAAGGACAGTACCAGCACCCTCTAGTGGTCTCATGGCAATATTACACATTTAAGTGAGAATAAGATGGCAGGGATCCCAGTAAAAAGCTTCGACAACATCACTGGTAAGAAAACTGGCCAAGGTAAATTACATTTTTTGAAACCAGTGTTTTTATGCAGTTACGTCTTTAGCTTCATAAGGCATRCAAACATTTTTTGCAACTGAAGCAAAGCACATTGTTGGTAGATAAAAGTCATCATTTGAGGACATGTTATTGTACCATTAGGTAGGATAAAAATGCATATACATWTAGAAGAGTTCACAAAATAGAGTAAGTGGTATATTTGGTCACAAAATTTTGTTAAACAAATCTGGAAATATTTAAAACATGGTAATTACTCAGGTATTCCTCAACAAATGTGACATTTTYAGACCCAGTGCCCTCATATGAGGACATATTTTGCAAAAACCACATCCTGTACCATGACAGATTTTGGTTATTACACTTATTCGGTCCTWACAATCCCACTTATCTTGGAGAAAGAAAAAACACACATCCAGAAAAAGCTTGTGTCTCAGGAGGTTAAAAAGTGAGAAGCACATCAAACTTGTAAATTCAGACATGTTCACCAGATTTGGATGTAAAAACCTTTTAATTAAAACTGAAAGTCTGCAGTAAAAGCACATCTTGTTGGTTTTATTTCAAATCCATCATGGTTATGTTCACAGCCAAAAAGATGGGAATTGTGTCCCAGTGGAACTGACTGTAAATTAGAGAATGAAACAGCTGGTATGTTGAAGGTTCTGGAGGATAAATTGTGTCAAATTTTACATTTGCAACATAGTGCTGCTGCAGAGAATTGCAGAAACATCTTGAATTCTGAGCAGACATYTTCAAAGACCTAAAACATTAGAATACAACTTTATTTCTCCAAACTGRGGTTGTTCAAAGATCTACTATAACTCCAGCAGATCAGATTTAACCTTAATGTCTGAAACAGTCTGTGGAAGGAAAAGGCCAGCTGTGTGATTCAGCCTCAGTAAATCCTGATTGCCTCCTTTCAGTCGGACTCTCCCTCAGAGCCTGTATTTCTGCTCCTGCTGAGCCTTCAGTACAGCTGAGAAGCTTAACACTGATGATCCCAGCATTAATGGCACTTCTGTATGTTCGATTCGGCTCTGCTGATGGTATTACTCTACATTTTGAGCTGGGTTTTAAACATGGCATTAAGCCAAAGATGAATACCCAGAGAGTCATTATAAAACACACTTCCTCGTCTTTCTGAGCCTCTCAATCTCCCTCACGCACTCACCTAATGATCACAATCCCTCTCTTGTAATGGGTTTATTGTACCATTAGGTGGCTGCTGCGCGCTGCAGTCTGCAGCATCTTCTCTCATGCTGAGTGTTACACATCACCTTTGTTTATTCAGGCTATAGAAATCTAAGCGTCCTCAATAAAAAGCCTTTATTTTTGTCTGACTCTTGCTTATTTGTCGCCATGCTTGATGCTCTGACTGCAAACTGCTGCCTACCACTCCTCCAGACACAACCAGGAAGTGTTTTAAGCCATCAAGTAACTGATTACAACTAAACACATTAGAAAAAGATTATTTGAATAAACAGAGGAACAGAGGTGTTAATTTTCCCGATTTACCTTTATAAATCATTGATTGTTTGGATAAAATATATCAGTTAAATGCATCATATAGGGGACAAACACAGTGATATTTGAGAGGTGAAATGAAGTTTATATGATTTACAAAAAGTGTGCAATAATTGGTTAAACAAAATTAAGCAGGTACATAAATTTGGGCACAATAAAAAAAACCTTGACTCAATATTTAGTAGCTCCTCCTTTCACAGAAATAACAGCCTCTAAACACTTCCTACAGCTTCTAATGAGAGTCTGGATTGTGGCTGAAGGTATTTTAGACCATTCTTCTTTACAAAACATTTCTAGTTCATTCAGGTTTGATGGTTTCTGAGAATGGACAGCTCTCTTTAAGTGACACCACAGATTTTCAATAATATTCAGGTCTGGGGACTGAGATGGCCATTCCAGAACGTTGTACTTGTTCCTCTGCATGAAGGCCTCAGTAGATTTTGAGCAGTGTTTAGGGTTGTTGTCTTGTTGGAAGATGCAGCCCTGGCTTCAGCAGCTTCAGGTTTGTCACTGATTCCTGGACATTGGTCTCCAGAATCTGCTGATATTGGTTGGAATCCATGCGTCCCTCAACTTTAACAAGATTCCAGTCCCTGTACTGGTCACACAGCCCCACAGCATGATGGAACCACCACCACATTTTACTGTAGGTAGCAGGTGTTTTTCTTGGAGTGCTGTGTTCTTTTTCCTCCATGCAGAACGACCCTTGTTCTGCCCAAATAACAATTTTAGTTTCATCAGTCCACAGCACCTTGTTCCAAAATGAAGCTGGCTTGTCCAGATGTGCTTTAGCATACCTCAAGCAGCTCTGTTTGTGATGTGGGCAGAGAAAAGTCTTTCTCTGCATCACTCTCCCATACAGCATCTCCTTGTGTAAAGTGTGCTGAATAGTTGAACGATGCACAGTGACTCCATCAGCAGCAAGATGATGTTGTAGGTCTTTGGTGCTGGTCTGTGGGTTGACTCTGACTCTTCTCAACATCCTTCACTTCTGTTTATTCCAGATTTTTCTTGGTCTGCCGCTTCGAGCCTTGACTTGAACTGTGCCTGTGGTCCTCCATTTTCTCACAATGTTTCTCACAGTGGAGACTGAAAGATGAAATCTCTGAGATAGTTTTCTGTATCCTTCCCCTAAACCATGACGGCGAACAATCTTTGTTTTCAGCTCATCTGAAAGTTGTTTTGAGACTCCCATGCTGTGACTCTTCAAAGAAGATGCAAAGAGGATAAAAAACTACACTTACCCCCTTAATCTTTCTCATAATTGGAGTCACCTGTGTATGGAGTTCAAGGGTCACTGAACTTACCAAACCAAATTTGAGTTTCAGTAATTAGTTCTAAAGGTTTTGAAATCAATAAAATGACAACARKGCCCAAATTTATGCACCTGCCTAATTTTGTTTAACCAATTATTGCACATTTTCTGTAAATTATATAAACTTCATTTCACTTCTCAAATATCACTGTGTTTGTCCCCTATATGATATATTTTACTGATTTTTTTATCCAAACGATCAATGATTTATAAAAGTAAATCAAGAAAATTACTAAGGCTGCCCAAACTTTCGCACCCCGCTGTATGTCTTGCAGACTTAAACTTCTTCTGCAGCCATGCTACAGGAGGTGCTCATGATGTTTCAGCTTCTATGTTCTTCTCTAGTTGAAAGGTGTCCAATCCTTGTCTTAAGGCATCCACAATGTCCAAGATTGAGCTCTTGGATGTTTCAGGTCAGGAGTGTCAAATTCATTTTCACTAAGGGCCACATGAGCWTAATGATGGCCCTCAAAAGGCCAACTGTAATTAACTTCAACTAATGCTAAAAATCATGCTCCTCGTCTTGTTAACTATGGCTGAGCATCACTAACAAACAATAACTGAGCTCTACGTGGTATTTCCTGCATCAGGGTTTTAACATGTCCTCTTATAAACACTGAAAAGTACTACGTGTACGGCAGAATAAATCTGGGATGATAATACAGAAATACTATTAAAAAATACTTATTATGCTTATATGTTTGTGGGTATACTTTGTTGGATGTTCCTTCATATAAGTTGCATTTTTTTAGGCTGTAGCTGTTTGGCCGTCATTACAATTGTCTTCAATTTTTTTCTTTGTTGCAGTTATTACTGATAACTCACCATTCTAAGGGTTGATTTATTAAAAACAAACCAAAAAGGCTAAATTACTATTTATTCCCTCAAGCCACAAATATATCAACAAAATACAGAAAAACAAGATTTTCATAGTGGGTAAAATTCCTAGTTTTGAATTTCTGACTGCCTTTATGAATATACAAATGTGCAATTTAAGCACCAATGAACTATCAACATTTTTATATGAACACTATCAAGATCCCGCAATGAAATCCCCACAGAGGAGAAGGGGAGAGAAATATCGTAATCTCTCCCGTTCAATAGGTGCAGAGATATTTGCAGGCTGGATCCAGGTGGTGGAATCACACACTGATTATAAAGGCTCCTGAAGGGAACATTATATCAATGGCAGCGATCCACGTGGAAACATAAAAGCAAGGAGAAACCAATAAAACTGATTGGCATGGTTTGCAGCCCGCTCATTGATCGTTGGCTGCGGATGAATCCCCCGCAGAGCCCCGAGGCTAATCAAACTTTCTGCTTCGCAAACTCTCTGTGCTGCACAACATGCCTCTGGTATTGATGCCACATCTCCTACAAACAGCTGTGCACACTGAAGGGCAAGACTTTTGTCCCTGCAGGAGAGAGACACACTGTTTCCTCTAAAAAAGGCACATACATTCATGCAGACGAACCATGAAATAAACATCAGTGAGTAATCTGATTTTCAATGCCATTCTTAGCTCACTGAATTCCACACATGCCCCTGAAAATGGTTTTTTTAATTAACTGTAATAAGATTTTAAAAAATTAGCAACACATTTATTTCATGTAAATGAATGCCTTTTTTGTATAAAAAATAAATAAAAAAACGACTTTTAAAATGATGTGCACTTATCAAATATTTAACAGCCTTTTGCKTCGAATAAAAAAATAA